TTGCATCAAACATTATAAAAGGATTTGATTAATAAATAGGATTCTACTCAGCCATTGAATGGAGTTAAAATCTGCATTTGAAGTTTTTCAAAAAAATATTTAATCCACTTAATCTTCATTTCATAATGATTAGGAAAAGAATCCAATGCAAGTGTTACTTAAACCATATTTATTGAACTTCGGACATTTGCAAGATGGCCCAGAAAGTATTTGTCAGCAGCTATTCATTCAGCATCTTCTGCTCTTGTGGGTGGTGAGCTCTGAGTGGGGAGGAACGTGTAATTAGGCTGGGTGGTGGCAGAGCTGAACCCTGCTGCCACTACCAGAATTACGTTCTGGGAGGGACGGTCATGGTTGAAGGTTTTGCCATCTCTGGAAGGATAACCATATCCTAAGGTTGAGTCTTGATAACCTGTAGATTTCTCCATTGGTGGAGCTTCATTTTTGGCTTTGTGCAGCCTTTTCAGAAGGGACTGTTGCTTACACTGCAGGCCTGTGTTTACAAACCTCCACTGACAGGCACAATGCAACTGCATCAGCCGCACAAGGAACAAAGCAAGGAACTGATCCAAGTCAACACCTCTGTAGATACATTTCCTTAAAATCCTTTTCTTATTCTATTCTACCTGGCCAGCCATTATCAGCTGCTCTCTCTGGAAAGGGCTGTTGAGATTAGCCCAGCTCTGGTTGTATTGCCCCTATCTCTGAGCCAGGAGGCCTGGGTTCATGCTCCACCTGCTCCAGAGGGATGCTGTAACATATCTGAACAGCTTGATTAGAAATTATCTGGCATAGCGACAGGCTGTTGTCATATGAGGTGCACAACAGGGGAAACTGTGCAGGTCAATTGTCAATACAGAGGAGGGGAAGGTGATATCCTTGATAAAGGCAAGTAATGTCTGATTTAGGAACCGGACATCAGGAAGGATAGTCTCTGTGGAGAGCTATGGCTGCCCCTCTCCCCATGCCCTCCAACTCCTTGCATTGCTTACCTGTGCCATTAGTACCCGTTAATACTGGAACTCTGGTGGCTGTCCTTATCACAGAGTCTCCTTAGTGGTGTTGCTGACCATAAGAGCTTCCAGCCTCTGGCTGATCTGCAACAGTCACCATTTGGGATTACTCTCCCTCAGGTCTTGATCTCAGGAAAGATCTGTGAGCCAGTAGCCTTACGATTGGCACGTGGTTTGGTGGGTCTTTCGAAAAAAACGCAGCACAGGTCTCTTGCCATCTTGCTAACAGGCAAGAACTCCAACCCCTCAACAAGACTACGCTCTAATAATTCAACTGCGGGACATAATGTTTATAATACTGGGAGGTCCTCACTAACATAAATAAATTAAATGATGGCTACTGAGATAGCAGTTTTATTCACTTTACCAGCATGGATTAAACTGGCAATGCTTGTAGTTGCAAATGGAGATATTTGTTCTGTTTTTGTGATTTAATGCATGTTGTATCTTGCTGTGATACCTATTTATGGAGAGAAGCCATTGGCATTACTCATATTTCAGGTTCTAAGTACTCCTTTTATTGACTCACTGAAAGCAAACAAGAAATCTGATACGCCTGTTAAAACCCATCAGATTGTAAATTGATTTTTCGACAAAGTCTAACACTATTTACATTTATGAAACTACATCTTCACAACCTTATCTCCTCTGAGCTTGCTTCATTTGTGAAGAGATTTTCTGTTATAAAAGCCATGAAGTAATTAGAGTATTGCTACCTGATCTTCATTGGCTGTGCACATCTCTTAACTCATTGTACACCAGTGGACTGTCAAGCTTTCATTTATCAGCAGCCCTTAAGTTTAAAACAAAGTTTGGTAAGTATCTGGCACACTAACATACCAACCTGGAGAATTTTGGGCATTTGACAATGTAACGACTTTTAGGCAACTAATCCTAGTTTTTCATAAATTGCTACCATTTCTAAAGTAGAAATTGTGAGCCAAGAGGATGAACTGTGAACTCAGGACTAAAAAATATTGTATTATTGGACTAACATTTCTTTCAGCAAAGTCTGCAAGGTAAAAGTTGACAAGAAATACCTTTGATATTTTCCAAATGTCTAATATATCTTTACAGAATGGCCAACTATAAATAATACAAATTGGATTAATACAAGGGATTACAAAAATACAACACTGAGTCCAACTCAACTGGTCAAAGTAACAAAAACCGAAAGAACTGTGGATGCTGTAAATCAGGAGCAAAAACAGAAGTTGCTGGAAAAGCTCAGCAGGTCTGACAGCATCTGTGAAGAAAAAATCAGAGTTAACTTTTCGGGTCCGGTGACCCTTCCTCAGTTCTGACTTTATGGATGTCCAAGATAAAATCAAGTCTTTCTCATTATAGTCACTATAATCAATGCACACATAATCAAAGATACAGAAAAATGTTATGCTTATATTTTGTAAGTAATAAGCTTGTTTTTAGTAACATTTTAAAGCTGTCACAACTTTTTTCGCTTGAGATGGACACATTAGTTTAAAATTAATACCAGCAACTATGGACATAAAATTCAAGGTAAAGTATGTAATAATTATGCCTAACAAACCAGATCGAATTTACTCTTTTCTCCTTATTTCAAATGTATACATTTAGTTCAACTGTCAGCCTTCCAAGCATAAGTAGGAGAAATTGGCTTTCATTGATGCTTTTCAATTAATTATCTAACAGTTTCCCTTCTCTGAATTAAAAGCATGCTAATGCGACTTCAATTCCATTGAGTGAAATTAAACATTGTGACATGGGTCAGTGCCCATGATTCACCATATGATGAGTTTTCTTCTCTCTAGACAGTGCTGACAGGAAGAGATACTGAGTGAGAAGCAGCTGCTGCCCCTTAAAGGAGACAACATTAAAAGGATAGTCACTCCATGTTCCTTTACCTTGATACAGACTGAAGAATTATATCACCAGAGACATAGGAGGTTATTTATTTTCACCCTCAGTCCGGGAGTAGTGCCAAACATCAAAAGAAGGAAAGATGAACAGAAAAAAAAACCTTTAAAAATAGAATAAAATTAAAATAGGAAGCAAAGTAATTAACCAGGAATCTCTCTTATAGTTGGTTCATTATTTTTAAGAGTAATTTTTAAAAAGACGAAAAACCAGCAATTGGTTTTAGCTCATGTTAGTGCCAATCAAACTGCTTTAAGTCTAATGCCATTCTTTTCCTGAATGGCTCTGTGTTAACCAACTGTAACCTTTGTCTGTCCCAGTCTCTTCTTCTCCACAATGATTTGCAGCCCTGGTTCAGGCCTATTTCAATGCAACTTCACTAGAACTTACAAAAATGAATTTATTCTAACTTAAAATTTGCATGTAAACTCCATCAAATTAAATGGCTGTGTCCAAATAGTGAAATTAAAGGTAGCTGAAAATATGTTATGAGTTTCAAATTCTCACTTTTAACTCTAACGACATGTATCTAGGCAACTGGAAATAAAAGGTGTTACAGTTGGACAGCTTCACAACTTTATTAATATTGATTCTAAAATGAACCACAGACACAATTTGTAGAAGACTTCCCTTTAGAGACTGTGAACAACCAGATACCAGTGATAACTACAATATATGATAACTGTTAAATGAAAAATGGTCAGGATAAAATCATAAAATCCAATGGAGGCAATTAAATGCTTCTGCAGTTTTCAAATGGAACCAAGTTAAAGGAAGTAGAATTTAAAAATGCAAATTTTTGAAAAATGTACTCTCTAAATTCAACATTATATCTCTATTTTCAAAAATTGACTATATTATTATGAATTTTAAACCACAGTTTCCTCTTTTATTTATATTACATTCAAAATGTTATGCATTTTTAAAGGACCTAATGCTTACTGAAAAGCAATTTACAATGAGTTCTGCATGATAAAATAAAGTTATTTCTAAGCTCTTAGTTTTATGGAATGGGGGTCATACACGTACTGCCTTTTAATAGGTAGATGTAGCTTTGCAAAAGGCTAGAAGATGCTTAAAATATACAATACAGTACACTTTCCACCAAATATTTAAATGCATAAATGAGGCAATAACTTAAAATTCAGAGAATTGATCAGTTGCAATTGCAGAACATTACATTTCATTTCTTAAGGGTCCAGTAGAAATCTGTAAATTTCCCATTTATTATTATATTTAATGCTTTTTAAAGCTCAATTATAACAGCAAACTGTAGTTTTCTAGAATGAATAATGTTTTTGGTCCTTTTTCCATTCAACCTGTTACCTGATAATTAGCTATTGCAGTAAATGTTTTATCCCGAAGCCATGACTCTCAGCAAGACAAATCTTATTTCAGTAGTTATCTGTTTAAAAAAGGATTCCTGGGAGAAACCAAGGCAAAATCTTGAAGTGTCAGTCTCTTGTGGTTCGTATTACATTTCTGCCCAAATAAAGGCACATGCTAAAACAGCACTGAAGACAGATTTGCTTTTCTTATGTACACATTGCAGAGAAATGTTGCAATTCCTGTCAATCTGATAAAAATAGCTTCAGATGCTGTTTTAAATAAATATCAGTATTTACAATGATAATTACTGCTCCCAGATTTTATTTTGGGAAGTTGGAAAAGTAATAGATTTGTTACTGTCATTTACAACTCCTCAATCTAGTTTGTTCATAGAATCTCTATAGTGTGAAAACAGGCCATTTGGCTCAACAAGTCCACACCAACTCTTTGAAGAGCATTCCACCAAGACTCATCCCCCTACCCTTTCCGTGTAACCCTGCATTTTCCATGGCTAATCCACCTAACCAACACATCCCTTGACACTATGGGCAATTTAGCATGGCCAATCCACCTAACTTGCACATCTTTGGACTGTAGGAGGAAACCAGAGCACCTGGTGCAAACGCTACACAGACAGCCACCCAAGGCAGGAATTGAATCTGGGTCCTTGTTGCTGTGAGGCAGCAGTGCTAACCACTGAGCCACTGTGCTGCCCTGATGAAACAAGCGTGGATGCTGTAAATCTGAAACAAAAATAGAAACTGCTGGAGAAATTCAGTAGATCTGGCAGCATCTGCGAAGATAAAATAGTGTTGATGTTTTCGGTTCAGAACCTGAACAAGGATCACTGGACCTGAAACGTTAACTCTGCTTTCTCTCTACAGATGCTGCCAGAGCTAATGAGTTTTTCCATCAATTTCTGTTTTAGTTTCTTTATTTGTCTCATTTTCCACCACCACATACCCCCCAACTTTTACCTTGCACAATCACTCTGTTGTCAATTAATCATTAATAAAAATGGAAAATGTTGGAAATCTGACAAAGGTTGATCTGAAACATTAACTCTGTTTGTAGGTACTGCCAGCCCTGCTTGGTTTTCAAGCATTTTCTGCCAGACTTTGCTCTTATATTAATCTCTCAATAACTTCTACCTTCTTTTTTGTTTCCTTCCTCTCCACACTCCCCCTCTCCCAACCCTTACACACGCCCCAAATTTCCATCACCACTTCCCTTGGCTTTGTACTAACTGAAAAAAATATTAAAACATTAAACTTTCTAGTCTTGACCAAAGATCATTGACCTGAAGCTTTGGGCAACATTTGAACTGTGGAAGTGGGTCAGTTTGAACAATTAAAGATCTCATCCATTTTCTCTCCACAGAAACTGCCCAACCTACAAAACATTTCCAGCATTTTCTGTTTCAGTTTCTGATTTTCAGCTCCTGCAATATTTATTTGTTGTTTATATTGTGCCTTGTGTTGTTTTCAGTAATTCCCACCATTGAAGTTCCTCTACATTCAAGAGTAATCTACATTTTGAATGTTAAGAAAATCAGTGAATCTGATTACTTAGGGCACAAAGCTGGAACGGTAGTCAATGTGAGTTAGAACGTTTCATAAAGGACAAAATGAATAATCTTTGGATTTGCAGCAGTAGTACAAATTGGTTGGAGTGGGAAGAATAACTTCGATTTTTAGATAGAAATTTGAAACTAACATTGAAAAGAACCGATTACAAATAAACTTTTTTTGCCAACCCAATTCAAATGGTTGCAATAAAGTGAGTGAGGCAATAACTTGCTGCTGACTGTTTGGTAAGCAGGCAGGTAGGAACCTTCCATCTCTCCATATATTGTAATGAAAGGTCTTTACTTCAAGTCACTGTTTTCAATGAAGCTATTGCTTACCAGTGTAGTTAACTCAATTTATAATGCTGAACATAGCTAATGGATTGATATTCAAACGAATCACAAAATTTTGATAACAAAAGCAATTTAAAGCAGCACTTTTGAAGTTCATTATTTTTGCTTCAAGGTGGTATTTTGCTCATTATTATTTTCTCCTGTGGTTGAAACTTTCAAGCTACTGCCAATTGTTGTTCAATGGTTGCTTACAGTAGACATCTTTGTATTTGTAGTCGAAGATCATTAAGAATCCTTTCAAACAAGGTTTCTCTGATGCCAATGTCATTCATGAATATCTTAATTTTTCCTACTCTGAGTCAACCAGCTGAAAGTCAGATTCTTCATTTCCATGAAAACATTGTTGAGTTTTGACTGAAGCTGTTTGTAGATAACTGTTGCTGTCTTGCTACGATAGAGCAATACGATCACCAGACTCAGCAAAACAATGATCAATAATTTACGAAGCATTGCCGGCAAATGGGAATTATAGCTGTCAGCTGATAAAAATACAAATAGAACACAAAAATTCAACATTATATCCTTTATATCATTACAACAGTCTTCAAATTTCAAAAATAATGCATCTTAGCAAAAGAAGTCATGATCAGAATATGTATTATGTCAGTTTACATGGGACTAAGCTAACACTTTGATAGCAGGCAATGAGGAACTGGAGACTGACTGAATTCAACGATTGATTTTAAACAGGCTTATGAGCTCAGAATAGTCAGTTTAATAATACTAAGTCTAATTTTCTCTTTTGGTTTTAAAGTTAACTGGAAACCTGACAGGCAGTCTGACTTCACCTCTGGTGCCCTCCTCTCTCTCCTATAACTGTGTCGTGGCAAATATTATTGCTGCTGTAGGAAGCTACATTGATAACATTGATCAATTGCACACAATTTCAACATGGTTATTAAATATGTTTCACCAATTCCTGTTAAACATCACAGTAATGCTGAGCCATGAAACGTAGTACAGCAATACAATGAATCGTGCCACTTTTTGTGCATACTCGTGGAATTAAAAGTTGTATCAGCTCTGAGGGATGGAATTCCTTCATAAAACCTCTGCAACACGTCAATTAATTTATATCTCCTTTCCTGTACATTCCAATCCCTTTAATTAAACAGTTTATTCGGTGTCAGTGTCAAGCATCTCCAACTTATTTACTCAAAGTCTGTCATTAGTTAGTCCTACAATTTTGAAATGTTCTTTTGGTGATATTGTCTAGGAGGTTGAGAGGCTTCCCTATTCTTTGCAGATAATAGAAGTGACTTTTCTTTATATAACACCCTTCATTATCTAAGCCAACGAAATACTTTAAAATTGTACCCACTGTTGTAATTTAATAAAAGCAATGGTTGACATATGAATTAGCAACAAGACTGGGCCTCTTGGGCCTTTGAGTCTGGTCTGCCATTCAATAAGGTCCTGGCTGATCTGATTTTAATCTCAAGTCAACATTCCTGCATATCCCCGGTAATCTTTCAACCCATTGGTAATGAAGAATCTATCTACCAGTGCCGTAAAAATATTTAAAGACTTTTCATCCATTACATTTTGAGGAAGGGAGTTCCAAAAACTCATAACTCTCTGACAGAAAAAAATGTTACTTCATCTTAGTTTTAAATGGGTGACTCTTTATTTTTAAACTGCGACCCCCAGTTCTAGATTCTCTGACAAGAGGAAATATGCTTTCAACATCCACCCAGTCAATTCCCCATAGGATCCAATATGTTTCAGTTTAAATCACCTCTGACTCTTTTAAACTCCAGAGGATACAGATTTAGCCTCTCCAGCCTTTCCTCAAAAGGCAATCCACTCCACTCATTCCAGATATTAGTCTAATAAACTTTCACTAAACTGTTTCAAATGCATTAACGTCCTTCCATGAATACTGTGACCAGTACTACACACAATATTCCAGATGTAATCTCACGAATGCCCTGTATAACTGAAGCATAACTTCCGTACTCTTGCATTCAATTCCCCTCACAATAAAATTTACTTTCCTGATTTCTTGTTTAACCTGCATACTAACCTTCTGTGATTCATGCACTAGGACACCTAGATCTCTCTGCACCTTCTCACCATTTAGATTATATGCTTCTTTTTCACTCCTTCTGACAAAATGGTCAATTCACATTTTTCGCATTGTACTCCATTTGACACATCTTTGCCCACTCACTTCACCGATCTATATCTCTTTCTAGGCTCCTTATGTCCTCTTCACAACTCACTTTCCAACCTATCTTTGTGTCATTAGCATATTTAGCTACAATCCTCTAAGTTCTTCATAAAAAATATTTATATAAATTATAGTTGAGGTCCTAGCACTAACTCCTGTGGGGTTGACATTCATGACATCCTGCCAAACTGAAAAAGACCCTTTCTTCCTACTATCTGCTTCCTGTTAGCTAGCCAATATTCTGTGCATGCCAATTTGTTACTCCCCACACCTTGAGCTTTTATTTTCTGCAATAACCTTTGACATGGCATCTTAGCAAATACGTTATGGGAATCAATATACGATACATTCCCTTGTTCCCTTTTATCTACAGCACAAGTTACTTCTTCAAAGAATACTAATAAATTAGTTAAATATGATTTAGCTTGGATAAAACAATGTTGGCTCTACCTGATTACTTTTAGCTTATCCAAGTACCCTCTTATACCATCTTTAATAATAGCTTTGAACATTCTCCCTATGACCAAATGTTAAGCTAATAGGCCTGTAATTTCCTGCTTTCTGCCTTCCTCCTTGTTGAATGGAGGAATTACATTAGCAATCTTCCAATCCAAAGGAGCCTTCCACAAATCTAATGAGTTTTAGAAGATTAGAACCAAGGCATCAGCTGTTTCACTATTACGGTTAAGATCCTAGGATGAAATCCAACAGGACCTGAGGACTGTTCATTTTGCAGTTCCAACAATTTACTCAGTACTACTTTCCTAGTAATTGTAATTTTCTTCAGTTCCTCCCTCTATTTCAATTCCTAATTCACAGCTATTTCCAGGTGTGACTTGTTTACTCTCTAGTGAAGACTGATGCAAAATACGTGTGCAATTCATCTGCCACCACTTTATCCTCCATTATTAATTCCCCAGACTCATTTTTTACAAGTAGCTTTCAGTACTGCCACCATAATGTTGTTGGTAGTCTACTATTCGTGTTAATCCATGTAACATATTTCACACACAGTTAAGTTCTGTTGAGTTGGATATCTTGAATTTTTTTAATAATATCAACTACTTACAAAATTATAATATCATAGACCTAAACATCTATTCTGGTTCTATGCTTTCTGATGTTACTGTACATTGATTGATTACACAGACTCCATTAGACAGATAGGATGTTTAAAGTTGAGGTGGGTACCTTTAATTCCAAATGTCATATGCTGTGATATCAGGTAACTGTCTTAAAGGTACAGCCCTGTCTGTTCTGGAATATATACCATTATACAACATGTATTTCTTATGTGCTTAAAACATACCTTTGGCTCTACATGATTTTTATTTGCATTTATTTGCATACTCATGGCAACATCCTGTAAATGACAATGTAGTTAAAAATTTCACTCCACGCCTCATTGAGTAGAGAATGTTTAAGGGAATCAACTGGTTACCTTAGACATTCCATCCATTAACTCCTTTATAAACTTCAGCAGAACCTCATCAGGTTATAGCCAGCAAGAGACCCTTAGAGGCCCAAAATGCATCCTACAAATAACTAACGACAGTAACTTATTTCTTTAGGAGCCAATCTCTCACTTTGACAATATTGTTTGACTATAGCATTTAAAACATTGAGAAGGAAAATAAAATACTTCATAAAATGATTCTGTGCTTAAAATGTATGAATACACACATATAGACCAACAGGAACAATGGAAGAAATTACTTCGCAATGAAAATTCAGACTCTGGAAATTATAGCAGTTAGCACAACTTGTGGGAGAAGTGTGGAGGTTTCACATAGCAAGATAAAATAAATTTAATGCTCAGCAGTTTATTTTGCATGAATAATGATATTGAATTTAGTGCAGACATTGTGAGATTATGGCTGGGATATTAGCTCAAGGCCATCTGGACTGGCTTCCATTATAAAAACAACTTGCTTTTTAAAATGACATGCTGAGCCATGAGCACAGTTACAGACAAAAATTAATTGCAGAAAGGTGTTGTGTTGACCAGGCACTAGAAAGAAAGATTCACACATCTGGACGGGTAGCACCAGAGGCCCTTTAAAACAGAAAGAAAGCAAAAGGCAGAACCAGGAAATAAAATGACAAACAAAGAGTAATGTTACCCCTGAGAGCACAAAATAGATTAGTTTGGAGCAAAATACCCCTGTGGAGTAGTGAATACCAAATGAAAATCAATTGTCAGCATAATATTATACCTTTTTAAAAGTTATTCAAATTGCATGCTGTAAGCTTACCTCATATTTAAACATAATTCTAATGAGCTTCCTTTCAAGCCATTCCTTTCACAAAATGGTTTTATTGCATGTTATGCACTATTAGCATTTTAGTTTGTTTTCAGAAAAAAATTTCATCCTCACCATTCCCTGTGCATATTGCTAACAAGAGGTTAGAATTCCATCATCTCAATAGCACAGAAGTAATTTAACAAGGAGGGATGAAGACAGTTGAGATCTATTTTCACACACAACAGGTTCACACTCAGAGAAGGCAACATTTGAAACATTAGATCCAGAAAGGAACTGTGATCAGTAACAAACAGCTTGTGCCTGAAACTTTAGAAGGTAACTTTGAAAAGAAGATGCTTTGAAAAGGCATGTGTAATATGCATCCCTATGACTAGGATACCCAACGTAAGTAATGACATTACAGAAGCACGAACAAACAAGTGCCTTAAGTGATTAACTAAAACATCGAAATTTAATCTTTATTGTGAATTTGATTAGAGTTCCAAGAATGGTTACAATGAAGTATTTTTGTTTCTAGCAAGAATTTACTAAACACTTTAACCTTTTTCTAATATCAGATGGTAACAAAAATATCCAATCTTGATTGAGATCTTGTTTCGTATTTGTATTTGTACTTCGTCTTTAATTTGAATTTTTTTTTAAGCTGACTGACTTGGAAGCATCATGCTAAAATTTTGTTATTAATTGAAAGTGAAATTCTGACTAATCATCCAGATTAAAAAATGTCGAGGCTAATTATTTTGGAATCTCTTCTTGGTAGAATTATATTTATTGAATGGATTCAATAGTTTACATCAGTATTGATAAATTGAGGCATTGTATAATACTGATGGATGATTCTATGCTAGCAAGAAAGAAGAGCTGGTAATAGGGACCATTAGTAGGTGAAAATGAGTTAGATGTATTGAAACCTGGTCATGTCATGACAGGATCTTGGGTGTGGGAATGTGTAAAGCATGTAGAAGAAGGTATTAAAGTTCTAAAATTATTGAATCCAATAAGTCCTGAAAGATACAGAAATCCCAAAGCAGAAAATAAG